GAGGGGACAGACCGGGGAACAGGACTTGCTCAGGGTGTGGCCAAATGTGACGATCTTTCCTGCAAGGGAAGAGAGGTTGTGAGGGGAGACAGGCGGCCGCAGGCAGCAGCAATGGCCTCTGCGGATACGGTGGGGAGGAAGGCGCCGTCTGAGGCCTGGCACTCACCGATGCCGGCAGACGCAGTCACCGTCAGGCAGTAGCTGTCCTGGTCGGAGCAGATGGTGGGCTTCAGGCAGTACAGATTGCTCTTCTGGTTCTGGCAGGAGAAGCACATCAGCGAGCCGGCTGTGGAAGGACACACCTGTCTCAGGGACGCCTCCAGGGTCCCTCCAAGGCCTGACCCCCGTGGACATTTACTGAGAAATTACTGTATACCAGGCTCCGGGCTAGAGACAGAGCAAGGACAGTGACACCCTTCCTGGCCCTGGAGCAGCTCCAGTGACACGCAAACCCACAGTGAGACAGCGTGGCCAGGTGGGTGAGCCTGATGGGAGCGGCCTGGAAGGACCCCTGGGGCGTCTGCTCAGGGGAGAAGGGAGGAGAGGGAGCTGAGCAGGGAGCAGCCGGACAAAGGTCTGGGGTCCCCGAGGGCACCTCACCTCGCTCAACACCCAGAAGGGCAGCCAGCAGCACCAGCAAGGTCTTCATTCTGGAGAGGAAGGTGGTCCTGCCTAGGGGTCCCAAGCCAGAGCAGCCCGTCCTGCTCTGGAGAGACACAGCTGGTCAGGGGCCAGGGGGGGCCTTGCTGCTCCCCAGGACCACGCACCCCCATGTTGTAGACGAGGACACAGACAGCAGAGCGGGGTGGGGACCCGCCTGCGCAGAGCCAGCACCCAGGGCTTCCCTGCTGGCTCCTGACCCACCCCTCATTCAGGGTAGCCATGATCTAGGTTACACCCCTCCCAAGACCTGGCGGGAGGGGCCGAGCAGGCAAGAGGAGGAAAGTCACCAGCCTTCACAGAAAACCTGCTTGCCTTGGCTGAGCATCCCCCACCTGCATTCACCATTGTCTCTAATCACCCAGGAGAAGCTGGCCCAGCAGGTTTCCCAGACAAGCCCCTCACCCACCCTGCCATCTTTTTTTTTTTTTTTTTTTTTTTGAGACGGAGTTTCGCTCTTGTTACCCAGGCTGGAGTGCAATGGCGCGATCTCGGCTCACCGCAACCTCCGCCTCCTGGGTTCAGGCAATTCTCCTGCCTCAGCCTCCCGAGTAGCTGGGATTACAGGCACGCGCCACCATGCCCAGCTAATTTTTTGTATTTTTTTTTTTTTAGTAGAGACGGGGTTTCACCATGACCAGGATGGTCTCGATCTGTTGACCTCGTGATCCACCCGCCTCAGCCTCCCAAAGTGCTGGGATTACAGGAGTGAGCCACCGCTCCCGGCCCACCCTGCCATCCTAACGGTTACTATGATAATACGAATACTCCTCACCCCACCCCGCCATCTTAACTACTCTTCCGCCTCACCCCACCCGCCATTGTACCTGAACTTATGGTAATGTGCACTCCCTGTCCCTGCCCCCACCACTGTAACCGATCTTCCTCTAACTTTCCACTGCGCACCCCAAACCTATAAAACCACCTCCTGTCCCACTGCCCTTTTCTAATGCCCTTTTCGGCCTTAGCCCACCTGCACCCAGGTGAATAAACAGCCACGTTGCTCACACAAAGCCTGTTTGGGGGGTCTCTTCATTCAAAGTGTGCCTTTTTCAACACTTGGGACAGTGGCTCACCCCTGTAATCTCCATGCTATGTGAGGCCACGGCAGGAGGATCACGAGGCCAGGGGTTTGAGACCAGCCTGGGCAACATAGTAAGACCCCCTGTTTCTGCAAAAAATAGAAAAATTAGCTGGGTATGGTGGTATGTGCCTGTGGTCAGCTACTTGGGAGGCTGAGGTGGGACGCTCTCTTGAGCCAGGGAGGTCAAGGCTGCAGTGAACTAGGATCATGCCACTGCACTGCGGCCTGGGCAACAGAGTGAGACCGTCTCGGAAAAAAAGATACACACATAGACATACACAAACACACACCCATAGGTGTTTCTGCGTATATCAGCTAATCTGTATCTAGAACTTTACATGAGGCGGCTCAGTGTCTCGAGCCCAGGCAGCTTCCCTGACATGAAGTGTGGGTAACCCCCCTTCTAGGCACCGAGGAAGGAGAGCTAAGCAGACCCCTGGCACAATTAGTGCCTGAAGAATAACTTACTGCTCATTCATTTCCTTTCATATAATCCTTGTATACTGTGATAACCTGCTTTTTGCCAGTTAAAACGAACTCTCTTTCTCAGACTAAAAGCTGTTCAGGCTTTAGCTTGCTGAGCCAGACAGACTCCATCTTAGCGTCTCCATTTTAGTTATTTCCCATCGTTGAGCATGTAACTGCAGTATGTGGCTGCGGCGGGCTGACCCTGGGCACCTCCAGGAATGCGTTTGCTGATAAGAGGCCGAGTTAAGTGGGACCAGCAGAGCCTGGGAATGCAGGTGCCGCCGAGCGCCCAGAGCCCCCAGAGCCCCCATTATCTGTAAGTTATGTCTTTCATGACGGCTTCACCCCCGCACCCGGCACTGTTTTATTTCTCATGTGCTAGTTTATCTTTTAACTTTTTGCTTACTCTGCTTTTGTGAAAAATTGGCTTCAGCTAGGTTTCCCTTCCCTTTTAAAACTAGGGTATAAAAGACCACCTCACTTTTTCTTGGGGGCTGAGAGAATTTTGGGCATTAGCCACTCTTGGTGGCCGGCATAATAAAGGACTCATAATTGAATCTCAGAGCGTGGCGCATTCCTTGGCTTGCTCGGGTACTACAATATAATCCCATCTTAGTTTGTGGTGGGAGGAGTGTCAAGAGCAGACTGGTCTTGACACCTGTGGTCCGAGCACAGCATGGACCAGGGAAAAACAGCCACACTAGGGTGAGAACCAATGGCTCAGGCGGTAGTGCCCTTGCCTGAAAGGGCATGTGCTACACGGCAGACCCGCCCAGGCGGCAGCGTTCAGTGTCATGAAAAGCTGGCCTCAGGCTGGCCCTCCGGGATAGTCCCACCTCGGTGGCTGTAGACCCTGTCAGCCCTCTGGCTACTGTGCTGACTGAAGACATCATCCTATAGAAAGCCTTAGAAGCTGCCTGCCCCTGGGTAAGAGATGTGGCACACTGCACACTGCCCGCCTCCCAGCCTCGGTGACCTAACGGGGATGGGCCCCTTGTTTATTGCTCACGTGATTGTCTTGACCCTATCACTATCCTTAAGATGACCTCACTCACGACCCTTCCCCTCAACCTAAACCTAACAAATACAGTCGTGCCTGGACGCTCAGGGCCCCCCTGACTCCACTTGTAAGTGGCGTTGGCCCCGGAGCCCCGCTGCTCTCATCCAGTCCTTTGGTGTGTTGTCTCCTTATTTCGCCTATCCAGCACCTCAGCACAGTGATAGGGGACACCCCACGACCCTAGTAGGGCAAGACCCTGCAATGGAGACCTGGGAAAGCACTCCACATTCCAAATGTGACTCGGTACTGAGAGACCAGCAGGAAGGGGCCAGATGGGTCTGAGTACTGCCCCTTGGCCTCTGCACAGGACCCTCCCGTGGCCAGGGGCCCATGGCACTGTTGGGCAAAGAATCTGGAACATGCCCAGCTAGGGTCGTGATTCTCTATTTCGTGAGTGCCTGGTGTTGGAGGGGGAGGCTGCTGCCTTCTGCCAGAGATGGCCGTGGGCAGAGGAGGGGGAGGGACATTCTGGGGCCTGAGGAGCTAGTGCTGGGCACTGGGGGAAAAGGGAAAGGAAGATACCTCAGAGAACAGATCTGGAGTGGGTCCAGCAGAGGCTTTAAGGAGAAAGCAGCAGGTGAGGCCCCTGAGACCTGGACTGTCATCCTGGGGTGCGAGTGTGAGCCCCAGATGGCCAAGAACAGTGCCAAGTCTTGCTGGGGCCAGTCCCCACTTCCAGGGAGGAGTCCGAGGAGGCTGAATCTCCAATTTCTCCCCCCATGAAGTGAGGTTCTGGTGTGGGGTAACCTGTGTCTCTGAGGAAGTCCTGGCATGCAGGGCCACAAACAGGTCCAGCTGGTGCCGCCACCTGCCCACTGGGTGGCACCCAACCCACCGGGCCACGAGGCTGAGCTAAGGCACCGGTGGGAGCGGAAGGCAGTTAGGAAGGTTGGCTGGTTCAGGGAGCCCCGAGGGAGCGGGCAGACCGTGGCGGGCGCCCCTGGGGCCCAGGCTGCAGGCTCAACCCCAGGCTCAGGGAAGGCTGCCCCTGGGGCCAGGTATCTAGGAGCTGCCCAGCCCAGAGGCGGGAGCCTCTCCTGTGTCCCGTAATGGGGAGGGGCCCGGCGGTCCCCCCAGAAGGCCGGACTCCTAGGACCTCACTGCAGGTACCACCGGTGCAAGAACAGGAAGCGGCGGTGAGTTCCAGCGCCCCGGGGTGATCCGCGGGGGCGTGAGTCCTCCCTTTCCGGCCAGGAGATCCGCGACACCCCATGCCCGCTCCCCGAGTCCTCGAGGCTGTCCCTCCCGGCCCACGTCGGGGGCCAGGGGCGTCTGGAGTTGGGCAATGGGCCCGGGTGGCTGCGCAGCCCTGGGCCGGCCGGGAGGCTCCTGGCGGCAGCCTCCGCCGGCTCCCGCCCCAGATCTTTGGAAAAATTCGGGGAGGCCTGGGGGTGGGGATGGGAGGAGAAGCCCAGCTCCCCGGGGTCGGGCCCACCCGCAGCCGCCAGCCCCTCTCCGGCGCCTCCCCGCGCCCCTTCCGCCCGCTCCCTCCTCCGCCCGCCCCGGTCCCCGCAGGGAGCACCGCAGCCGAGGCCGCCGGTCGGAGCGCGTGCGGGCAGGTGACGGAGGCCCTGTACTCACCGCCGGTGGACGCAGGCGCCCGCAGCCTCGCTGAGCTCCGGAGCCTCGCGCGCTCTGAACGCGGCTGGACCCGCGACTCCCAGGCAGCCCGCGCGGCCGGGGGCGGGGAGGGGCCTCCGGTGAGGGGGCGGGGCCGGGCGGGGCCTCCTGTGAGGGGGCGGGGTTGGAGCCCGCGGTGGGCGTCACCAGGCCTGCCCCGGCTCCGGGGGACTGATAGGGAGGCCCAAGCCCAGAGAGGGGCTGAGACCACCCCCCAAGCCCCCCAGAAAGGTGGCGCCTGAGCCACGGCCAGGCCCGGCCTCCTTCCACCCGGCCCTGCTGTGCGCGCGGCGGGGCAGACCTGGCGAGGCCGGGCCGGGGACCAGGTCGGGTGACAGTCGCTGACACCTGGACTTGAGGTCAGTCCTGGTTGAGGTCAGGGGCCGGAGGCCCACGGGTGAGCAGACGTGTTTGGGATGTGAGCCTCGGAGAGGATCGATGGAGCAATGTTGGTTGGGGGTCTCGCCTGCAGAGTGGGCCGGGGGAGGGGAGGGCGCCAGCACCCCCGCACCCTGGGCTTCCTGAGGTCATCTTGTCCCTGCTCCCGCCCCGGGCTGGCTGTTCCTTGGTCATCCCCCAGGCGAGAGGGGTGAGACCGGCAAGGGTTGGGAGGTGGTGGGTTTTGGCTTCTGCCAGATACTAACTTGGGCAGGACATTCCGGCGGTATCACCCTCCAGTCCATCTTCACAGGCTGGGGCGCCTTCTAGGCAGACGGCCCTTCCCTGCCTGGCCTGACCGGCTTGTGGGTGCCTCTCCTACCGCCAGGCCCTCTCTGAGGGGTTGTGGGCCTTGGAGTTCTGCACCTCTCTGTTCTCCAGTTGACAGTGCATTTCCTTTCTGGGTGACAGTGAGGGCGAGTGTCAGGCAGGGGGCTTCTGAACCCCACATGGGGGTGGGGTGAGGATGTGGGGGGATATTAGGGGGGAGGGTGTGGGGAGATGCGAGGGAGGGTAGGTGGCCAGGTGGCCAGGAGAGGGCTGGGGCGAAGAGACACCTGCCACACCTTGTCTCAAATCTAGGGGTGCCTTCAGTGTGGCTGTGTTTGTTTTGCATGAGTGAGTGTGGTGCGTGTGTGTATGGAGGCTGAGGCTGGGGCTCTGTGTCACGAGATGTCCTAGCTGTGTTATGATGGCGTTGTGGGTGGGACTTCCTTAGCTTTGGGGGAGATGCCCCAGCTGTCTCTGGGGACAGGAGGCATCCAGTAAGGCTGTGGCCTGGGGGCTCCCCGCCTCTGAGTCTTACCTGGGGTCCAGGCTGGGCTGTCTGTTTCCGTCCTGGGAACCCATTTTTTTCTTGTGCCTGTCCTGAACTTTAGGCTGGCCCTGAATGGGGAGCTCAGAGCTCTTCCTGACTGTCAGGGAGTTCCAGCCCCACCCCACCCTCCCACACCTGGAAGGAAATTTGGTAGATTTCTGTCCTGACAGGCGCACACATCCCACCTACGTTCTCTTTTGATTCCGGAGTATCCTCCCCTCTGGAATGCTGGTGGTGAGGGCACGGGGTTCCATCTGTGCAGCCACCACCTGCTACCATCCCTGCTGTGGCAGGGGCTCAGTAAGAGCTGTGGGATGAGAGCATGGGTGGGCTTTGCCCCCTTCAGGACAGGACTCCTGGATTAGAAAAGAAGCTGCATTAGGAGGGGGGCTGTTTGGAAAAAACTCTCAAATCATTTTCTTCCTGTCTCTCACCCAACACAACACAGAAAAGACATCAACACAGAAGACTCTCAAGACTGCTGGGGCCAAATGTGGGGGTGGGTGTTTCCCCACCTCGAGCGAGCCATCATCTCTGCGGTGGACATGGGCCGGGTGTCCTCCAACACCATTTCAACACAGTACCTGGAGATAGCCTCAGGTCCCACAGGGTGAGGGCTCAGCCCCAAGACACCTCCCCCTCCACACACCAGCTGAGAGCTTTTCACCAGCTGGTTCCATGGTGAGGTTCAGAGGAACCCCTGCTCACCAGGCCTCTGGTTTAATGCAGCATGACCAGAGTGACTGCATCCTGCAGCACCTGTGAGGTTAATGCTTATGGTCTAAGAACAGCCACGCCTCAAGCTGGCCACCAATTATAACAGAACATTACGGCCATATGGGGCATCTCCCAGCGAGCCTGCAGACTGTCCAGATGTCCCGAGAGCGCAGCCCACTCTCCTCAGAGATCATGTCAATGAGGCTGAGGCTGGAGGATGGACCACCCTGATGGCGCCCACAGCCCCTGTCTTTGGTGAGTGCGTCTGCACGTTCCAGGTGTGACCGCAGCTCCCACTAACAGACGACGGGCGCGCCTCCTCCTGCTTTCCAAGCATGCCCACTCTGTGGCGGAGTCATTTCTAATAAACCTGCTTCTCCCACTGTGCTCTGTGGCTCACCCCAAATTCCTTCCTGCTGGACATCCAAGAACTCCCCTTTAGGGTCAGCTCGCCCTTAGGGTCTGGATCGGGATCCTCTTTCCCAGCAATACTGCAACCCCTCCCCACTTTGCATTCAAATGGTTTGCAAGAGTGGCTTGGGGAACTCAGGGAAGCACATTTATGGTGAATTATAAAGGGGCACAGATGAAGAGGCACTGGGCGAGGTTCCCGGGAGGGCCCTGCCAGGAACCCCTGTGTGCTCAGCATTCCTTCCCCCAGGGCGTGGCACAGGTCGCTACGAAGGTGGTTCTTCTGGCCAGTGATCAGGAAGACGGGGAGGATGAGTCCTGCCTTGGGGCAGGTGAAAGGGGAGCAGGGGACGTCAGAGAGAGTCTGTTTCTACCCATAACTGTAACAAGGGCCGAGGGAGTCATAAGCCTGGGCTGGACCAGCACCAACTCTCTAACCCCACACCACTCCCTCCTCCTCACACAGCAGCCCTCCCGGAGCACAGGAGCACAGCGGTCATAAGACTAGGCAGGCCTGCTGCGACGTGGAGGCCTTTGTTTTTTAATGCTTAAGTTTTTAAATCAGGCAACCTCCGATCCAGAACAGGTGCAGAGACACTCCCATGCCTAAGAGGGCTTTGGCCCAGCTGTGGAAGACTTTTGTCCTGGTAGCTTCTCTGAGATGACAGGAGGAGGCTGGTGGGGTCTGTGGGGAGAAGTTCCTTGGGACAGAAGGGCCAAGCCAGTGGTGGCCCTAGAGGGAGAGGGTGCAACGTTCATGATGCCCGCTCCTCCCAGCCACACTCAAGAGAACATTCCCTTCAAGACTGGGTTAGGCACGCGAGGAGTTTGGGGGGCACCTTTGCTGTGGGGTGCTGCCCAGTTCTGTCTCGGGTCCGGACTCAGGCGTGAGTGCCGTCAGGAGGGACCTGGGTGAAGGCCTGTCCCAGCAGGCAGCATCAGGAGCCAGAAAGCCAGACGCTGCTGCCCCATGAAATCTGGGCCGGTGGCCTCACGGAGCCCCTCACTTACTGGGGCCGGGAGTTGAGGCCACAGATGAGCTGTACGCTGGCTTCTGGGTTCAAGAGGAAGCAGCCTCACCTGTCCTGTGTGCTCCTAGGACGGATCAGCCACCTGACATCTGCCAGTGGCCGTGGGCGTGGGCCCTGTCCTGGCCTGACCTTTCTCTGGCCACTATTCAGGGGTCCTGTCAGAAGCGTCCCTGATTCTTGCCCCCACTCCTCCATCCAGCCCCTGCTGCTGCTGCCTGTGTCTCTTGGAAGGCAGGGACCCTCGAACCAGCCTCAGGAGGCCTGACGGGGAGTGAAAATGGCAGCATGGGGCAGGCTGGGCCGGGACAGGGCAGGCTGGACAGGACCTGGCTGCTGGCTCTGGTGGGAGGTAGGCTGTCTCCCAGCCTTGGCTCCATGCGGGGAGAGCAGGCCGACTCTCTGGCTGGGCTGCCATGAGCTCACTGCCTGGCTCCACATTCCGATGTGCAGCTGGTCCTCTGCTCTCAGGCCTGGTTCCCGCCTCTCCCAGAGCACAGTCCACAGTGCTCCCGGGGTCTTTAGCATCTGCTCCCACCACCGGGGCCTTAGGCTCCTCCTCTAACTTCCACTGCTACCGTGCCCTCTGTCCTGGCGCAAGTCCGGAACTGAAGTTGGCTCCAGGCCTCCCTGTGTTGCTCCCTGGCGGCTCCTCTTGGGAGATCTTCCCCAAGCCCACGGGAGACCCTTCCCACGGAGTGACTGAGACCGCTCTCACGCAGTTCAGAGGTTTCCTTTGCCGAGGTGGAAGCCATGCCGGGAAAACGGAGACAAGCCACAGCAGGATGTGCAGCCCACTCCTTTTCCAAAGATGGTTTTGGGGCTTCAATATTTACATAAAGAAGTGGCCAGAGGGGAAGGAGGAAAGGAAGAAAGGAAGGAGGGTCATCTTCCTGTGAGGCTGTGACCAGTGCCCACTGCTCTCCAGGTTGCAGGTGAAAGCCGGGGGCAGAGGAACAGTTCATTTGTGTTTCTTTGTTTTTGTTTTTTTGAGATGGAGCCTCACTCTGTTGCCCAGGCTGGAGTGCAGTGGCTCAATCTCAACTCACTGCAACCTCCCCCTCCCGGGTTCAAGTGATTCTCCTGCCTCAGCCTCCTGAGTAGCTGGTATTTCAGGCATGTGCCACCACACCCGGCTAATTTTTGTGTTTTTAGTAGAGGTGGGGTTTCACCATGTTGGCCAGGCAGGTCTCGAACTCCTGACCTCAGGTGATCCTCCTGCCTCGGCCTCCCAAAGTGCTGGGATGACAGACGTGAGCCGCTGTGGCTGGCTGATTTGTTGTTCATTTACATTGCCAGGTGAGGGAGGCCCCCTGGGGTGACTTGTAGCTGTTTGCTTAAGGACAAAAGGAAAGGCAGGTTTTGTGTGTGTGTATGTGTGTATGTGTGTGCACGCGTGTGTGTGAACTCAGTTTCTAAGCTTAAGTTTTCCCTTCGGCATAGTGAGTTTGGGGTCCGAAGATCTTATTTTCCTTTCTGCCACCCCACTTGGTTTTGGGCTCCATGACAGCTGGAGCCAGCTTCTGTGTGATGAGTGCCTCTGGATGGAAACGCTGGTGGGTGGCATTGCGTGTGTGTGAAGACGTGGAGGGGGATCTCTGAAGGAGTGCCCGACGGAAGTCCAGCAAACCCCACCCAGGGAAGCCTTCTTATTTGTGTGGTCACAGTTGGTGAGCCCTGAGGGAACTGCTCGTGGAAGCTCAACAGGCCTGACTGGGGGTGACCGTCTGCTCGTCCATCTGGCCCAAAAGCCACCCATTGCCTTCCCGGTCATAGGTCACCCCTCCCCACCTTGAGTGGATTAAAGACAGCAGTGGTACCTTGCGAGGGTGACGTTGGGTGCTGAGTGAGGTCACCAGCGTCTATTTCGTTGTGTGTATTTTGCGTTGGCTGGGATGGAAAAATGCTAATTTTACTGGTTTTCCCCATGCAGCTCGATGGGCAGCATCTTGCAAAACTGAAAATTTTTTCCCCTGTGGTTCCATGAAGTGGAAAAAGGTGATTTTCCTTTGCTATGTGGCTTATCCCCCACAGCTGTGGTTGCGGCTTCGAGCAGGGTCACCAGGGCAGCTCAGGGAAAGGGAACCCAAAAACCGGGCATGCCAGCAACAGGGTAAGAATGTCTTACTGGGCCGGGTGTGGTGATTCACGCCTGTCATCCCAGCACTTCTGGAGGCCAAGGTGGGCAGATTACCTGAGGTCAGGAGTTCGATACCAGCCTGGCCAACACGGTGAAATCCCCGTCTCTACTAAAAATACAAAAAATTAGCTGGGCGTGGTGGCGGGCATCTGTAATCTCAGCTACTTGGGAGGTTGAGGCAGGGGAATCACTGGATCCCGGGAGGCAGAGGTTGCAGCTAGCCGAGATATTGCACCATTGCACTGCAGCCTGGGAAAGAGCGAAACTCAGTCTCAAAACAACAATAACAACACACAGGCTTCTGGCCCCCCTGTGTGTACTGGTTGAAGGAATGGTAAAAACCACTGCGTATTAACGAGAACTAGGATTTGTGAGGCTAGTCTAAGGCGGCAGCAAATCTGAGCACCATGGGCGACGAACCTGTCTTTCTGTGCTGTTCTGTCACAAGGAGGGCACCCCAGGACAAACACGAGCTTGGGACCCCTAGACACCCACTGCTCAAGCCGGTCCAACAGGCTGTCACCCACAGGCTTTGCTGCAGGTCCCTGGAGCAGACACTGGAGGAAGTTTCCCTCTTGTCTTGGTTTACATCCTTGAGAGTGAACTTTGTGACTATGTGTGGGCGTTCTCTCCTGCTGTCCACCATCCTGACGGCAGGGATCTTCAAGTTCATGTCAGGTGGCCAGTCCAAGACAACCATGGGTCAGCCACGAGCAGCATGCTCTTCCCCTGAGTGGAGCCTTGGCGAGAGTTTTCTCTTAAAAGGTCGCATTCCTACAGGCCTTTTATCATCTTTTGCTTTCTTTTTTTTTTTTTTGAGACGGAGTTTTGCTCTTGTTACCCAGGCTGGAGTGCAATGGCGCGATCTCGGCTCACTGCAACCTCCGCCTCCTGGGTTCAGGCAATTCTTCTGCCTCAGCCTCCTGAGTAGCTGGGATTACAGGCATGCACCACCATGCCCAGCTAAATTTTGTGTTTTTAGTAGAGACGGGGTTTCACCTTGTTGACCAGGATGGTCTCGATCTCTTGACCTCGTGATCCACCCACCTCGGCCTCCCGAAGTGCTGGGATTATAGGCGTGAGCCACCGCGCCCGGCCTCTTTTGCTTTCTTAAACTCATTCCTGAGAGTGAATTCTTGGGGATCGTGGAGATGCCTACTTTACCCCCTTTCCGGAAATCCCTTTTGCTGATTTGGTAAAAACCTGGAAAAGTGCCATCTGGACTTTAAGAGGCCTTTTGGACTGAGTTGCTCTTGCAGCTGGCTCCTGGGAGAGACAGCAGCCGTCACCTCATGCTGGAGGTCAGCTCACTGAGGCTTTGGCGGTTCTTCACAATAGTGGCCTGGGTTCCGTTCCCGGCTTTGGGGTGAGTCCTTCGTGGTCTAACACTTGTTGGACTTTCGCTGCTCGGTGATCATTTTCCTCTCCGTGGACAGCTTCTGATTTTCTGTCTTGAACTGCCTTTGGGGAGGTTCTAGATCTCGTAAAGGTCACTTTGATCTCTTTGGAGTCACTTTGCATGTCCGTGTTTGGGTTATCCTCTTAGGTAAGGCTCACCGATTTACTCTTAGTGAAAAAATTCAACAGCCAGAAATACTGGCCTTTTGTCCTGGCTGAAATCTGGTAATAAAAGATTTTAGGCTGGGTGTGGTGGCTCACGCCTGTAATCCAAGCACCCTGGAGGCCAAGGCGGGCAGGTCACCTGAGGTCGGGAATTCAAGATCAGCCTGACCGACATGGTGAAACCCCGTTTTTAAAAATTAAAAAAAGAAAAAAGATTTTAAAAGGATTTTTCTTGAGAGCTCTATAGTTAGAACCTGACTTCATTAAAGCTGATATTTGGGCTGTGTTTGTGCAGAGACTGTTTTAAAGCCCCTGCTCTCCCTCTTCCATCCCTTCTCAGTCGATGGAAGTCTGTGTTGATTCTTCGTTTCTGTCTATTTAATGTGTCATGTGTGGTGTTTCTATAAAAGAGCTCTAATTAATCGGCTTAAAGAAAAATAGGCTAAAAGCTGGAAGATGGCTGGCAACATGGCCAGGTGGAGTGGCTGCTGCTGCGGGGCCGGGATGACTGGCTGCTCCCAGTGGGTCTCAGAGGGAGGCACCGGGAGTGGACTGTGGGGGAACACAGAAGCTGTGCTCAGGCGGGAGGATGTGGGAGCCCTGCCCGGGGCTACCACACACCGGGACTCCTTACTGGTCCCCAAGACTCCGGGAGAATGGGTGAGTTGAACTGGCAAGGAGCAGCCTGCTCTCACTACAGGTGGAAGGAGAGTCCTGGAATCCTGGCTGGGGGAGACCCGTTAACTGCCATGGACACTCAGGTGGCAGGGAGAGCTGCTGAGAGGCTTCAGGGGCAGCAGCCCGCTGAGGCATGGCCCAGAGGATTTGGTGCAGGAGTCCACAGCGGAGCATGGCCGGGGAGGGAGGCATCCCCCAGGCTCTAGTTCCTCCCATAGGAGAGTTTAGCTCTGGGGAAACTGATGGATATGATCTTTGCAGGGCAGTCTTACCCATCAGATGGGGCCAGTCTGACCGGAGCACGCCTTCTCTCCCACGGCCCCAGCCTGGCCATGCCTGCTTGCAGCTCTGGGTGCCCTGGGGGTCTGCAGCACAGCTTCTGCACTGGGGAGGCCATGCCTGTTTGGTGGAGAGCTCCAGCAGGGCAGCCCCCATGGCTATGTGCAGCCTGCCCACTCCCTCCCCACACTGCAGCTTCTTTGGGGGCCACCGCCACCCCCACGTTGCTTTGCTGTTGCATGTCTGTGCAGGTGGGTTTTGCTTTCCTTGCCCACCAGTATACCTGTGTGTTCGCACCCTGCCCTGCCATTGCCGTGGCAGGAGTGCAGTTTGCCCTATGCCCCCTGCCAACTGCCACTGCAGTTGGAGCCTTCGCAGACACAGAGCCAGCCCCAACTCCCTTGCACCCCACTCTTGTACCACCGCTGCTGCGAGAGTGAAACTAGGCACAGAGAACAGTGGCCCCGCCCTGCCCAGAGTGACCACCCCTGCCTGTGGGGCACAAAGAATGCCATAGGCCTAGGCCTACCAGTGCCCCCCTCCATGCCAACACTACCACCTGCTCCCCGGGTGCTTGCTTCTGCCACTGTGGTGAACCTGCTTGGAAGCAGGCACCCAGCCCCTGGTAGCACCCTGCTGCAGCCAATGAGTGTGCACCCTGTGCTGCTGCCACCACAGCTGCTGGCACGTGCAAACAGGAATGGATCATGCTCCCACTGCACTACAAAATGTGTTGGCTGGCACCGCCTATCAGAGTGTAGTGACTGGTATCCAGGAGCACCTCGGTCCCTCAGTGCAGTTGATTCCTAACCTCCGGGAGCCAGAGAACAAAGTTGGGGCCTGATACAAGTCCCCCAGAGTTACAGCACACAGTCCCAGGAGTTGGGAACTGAGCCTTGGCACCCTAAAATCTTCCAGAAACAAAGCCAGTCAGCTGAATCCACCTTATACTACAATCAAATTCTCAAGGTCATCAAATAGGATGAAGAAAAGAAAATCATCCAAAGGTTAACTTCAAAGAGCACAGGAACATCAGCCCAAAAGACAAGACAGAACTAGGGCAAGAACCCAGACAGCACAAGGCAGAACGCCATCTTTCTGCCAAATGACTGCCCCGCCTCTCCAACAAGGGCTGTGAGCCAGGCTGACGTGGCTGATGTGACAGAATAGAATTCAGAACATGGACAGGGGCAAAGATAGTTGAGGTTCAGGGGTGCATCCAATGCAAGGAAGCTGAGAGTCACAATAAAATGATGCAGGGGTGGACAGACAAAACAGCAAGTATAGAAAAGAATGTAACTGACCTGGTAGAACCAAAAACCACACTATAAGACTAGCTTTCTGAAGGCCGGGCGCGGTGGCTCATGCCTGTAATCCCAGCACTTTGGGAGGCCGAGGTGGGTGGATCACGACCATCCTGGTCAACATGGTGAAACCCCGTCTCTACTAAAAAAAAAAAAATACAAAAAATTAGCTGGGCATGGTGGCGCATGCCTGTAATCCCAGCTACTCAGGAGGCTGAGGCAGGAGAATTGCCTGAACCCAGGAGGCAGAGGTTGTGGTGAGCCGAGGTTGTGGTGAGCCGAGATCGCTCCATTGCACTCCAGCCTGGGTAACGAGAGTGAAACTCTGTCTCAATAAAAAAGAAAAAGAAAAAAGACTAGCTTTCTGAAATAAGACTGTCAGACAAGAATGGAGAATAAAAGAATGAAAAGGAGTGAACACAACCTCTAAGAAATACGGAATCCTGTAATCCAAATCTATGACTCACTGGTGTCCCTGAAAGACATTGGGAGAGTGTAAGCAACTTGGAAGCAGATTTCAGGATATCCATGAAAACTTCACCATCCTAGCTAGAGAGGTTGATATTCAAATCCAGGAAAGGCAGAGTAAGATACTCCATGAGAAGATCATCCCCAAGACAAATAATCATGAAATTCTGCAAGGTTGAAATTAAAGAAAAAAATGTTAGAGGCAGCCAGAGAGAAAGGCCAGGTCACCTACAAAGGAACACCTATCAGACTAACAGCAGACCTCTCAGTAGAAACCCTACAAGCCAGAAGAGACTGGGGGCCAATAGTCAACATTCCTAAAGAAATTCCAACCCAGAATTTCATATCCAGCCAAACTAAGCTTCATAAGTGAAGGAGAAATAGGATCCTTTTCAGACAAGTAAATGCTGAGGGAATTGGTTACCAGCAGACCTACCTCACAAGAGCTCCTGAAGGAAGCGCTAAATATGGAAAAGACAGACTGTTACCAGCTGCTACAAAAACGTACCAAAGTACACAGACAAGTGACACTATGAAGCAACCACAGACAGATGTGCATTCTAATC